CTCTCTCTCTCTCTCTCTCTCTCTCTCTCTCTATCGCTCTCTCTCTCTCTCTCTCCCACTCTCTCTCTCTCTCTCTCTCTCTCTCACTCTATCTCTCTACCTGCCGTTTATGTATGGATGTGCATGCGAATCCGTACAAGACACCACAGACCCAAAGACTCCTTTTCTCAGGAATATAAATATACACATATACATATTATATATATATATATATGTATATCTTAGTTCATATATTATCATGTCATGAGTTATTAAGTCTGCTCCCTTAATCAAGGGGGTATAACTTGATTCACAACATTACGCCCCTCCCCGCCCCCCACCCGGGTTTACGGTTTTGTCCCTTCGTTAACGGTCCTGGGCTGTCCGTGCCAGTGCGAGAGAAGGTGCGTTGGGGTCGAGGAGGTCGCGCTCTGCTTGAGGCCGGGGAGCTTCCTGGAAGATCTTCAAAAGGCTTTGTGGAAGTGTCTATCAAATTTCTAGGTGGGTAGTTCTCTAAATTAGGTTGCCTGTTTTGGTCCCCAATATAGTAGGGCGCCCTTATAAAAAGGACCTTAATAGGGGGGCTCGGGTTGTCTAGAACCAGCTTCATAACAAAGCCAGAAGGTTTAAGGGTTAAGTATAGGGTTGAGGCTTAAGGTTTCAGGTCTGCAACCCTAACCCCGAAACATTAAACCCTAAAACCCCTAAACCCTATCAACCCCAAACCCCTAAACCTTAACCCAAATCCCTACACCCTAAACCCCTAAACCTATTAACCCTAAACCCCGAAACGCAAAGCTACACCGATCTACACCGGCCCTAGGAACTCTTGATCAGCCCGAGCTGCGACACGAAGAGCACCGCGCGTTCTTTTCTAAAGGGGCCCTAATAAGCCAAAGAAATCTGGGACCGATTTTGCTATGACTCTTCTCATTGTGCAGACACCGCTTTAGCCCTAAATCCTAAACCTTAATACTTCATCCTAAACCCTGAACCCTCGGGCTTAGGGTTTAGGGTTTTAGGGTTTAGGGTTTAGTTTGTGCGGAGGTTCCGACACCCTAAACCCTATGCTACTCATAAGTCCTCCGCCGTCAGCTGCCGCGACGGGACCACTCTTGTCGGCGGTTTGACATCACCCATCCGGAACTCGGATACCGGCTCGGGCCTGCTCAACCACGGTGCTTTTGGGGCTCTTCTGGGCTTAGGGTTGAGGGCTTAGGGTTTAGGGCTTGCTTGGAGGATCATGGCACTACGTAAGTAACGTTCTAAGAGTTCCAAGTACCATAATTGGAGTTGTAAGTGGTTGTAGTTAAAAGTACCATGTATATGACCCTAGTTACTTAGTCCCAGGATCCTCTGAGTAGGGGTTTCGGTGTTTAGGACTTAGGGTCTAGGCAAGTCATGGCCATTTGTCTTCTCCAGAAATCCGAGAGCAATGCGAAAGAAAACACACACGAAAAGGGGACGTTTGTTTCCACCTCTCCAATGCGAGGGTCGGCTTCGCCATGGTGTCGGAGAGAAGCCTTACAAGTAAGGACACTGGGAAGCCAAGGGGGACTTCGGGGAACAAAAACCTGAGAGTGTGTTGGCGCAGCTTCAAAGCATTCGTAGTAGACGCCAAAATACCCCAAACCCAAAACCTGCTTTAAAGCCCTAGACGACACCTCCAAGGGCTGCCAAAGAAGCATCTGCACTTCAATAGGCTCTGAGTCTGCATTTGGTGCCTCCTGGAAGCCTCAGCGCAGAAAAGGATCCTCTACAGAAATGACCGCTGAGGGCGTACGGCATTCGGGGATTTTGGGGTTCAGCCGTCTACTTAAAGGATCGTAGGACTTAGTAATTAGGGTTATAAATGAGGCAACTATAGTTATAATCAGTTATAGATCCCATTCAGGAACTTATAACCTTACTTACGAAGTCCCATGCTCCTCCAAGTAGGGTCTAGGGGCTTATAGGGTTTCGGGTTTAGCGTTGGAGGAGCTCCGGGTTCAGGGCAACGCACGGCAGGCAGGCGTCTGCGCGAATCCTCATTCTTAGGGTTTAGGGTTTAGGGTTTAGGGTTTAGGTCAAGAAGCAGGTTACTGGTGCACCAGTGGTCGGCGTCTCCATGCTTGCTTGGCACCCCATTGCAACGGGGGTGATCTTTGCAAAAGGCGTGGAAAGTTGGCGCAACTTTCGCGTGGCCTTGAGCCCACTCGTGGCCACAGAGCTCTCGGCACCGCACAGACGGAAACTGGAGACCTGACCTAGCCTCGTCAACTCTAGTACATTATGATGCTAGATACTTCAGTATATTACTGCTGCCTAGAGTCGGCTGGCCTGTAGGCTACTATAAGACGGACATGCTCGAGTATCTTTATATGGTCTATCATCATGTATCATGCTCTACTATAGTAGATTGGCCAAAGAACCCTAATGGACTTGACCTGCAAAGAGGCATGACGACATGGCACATGCTGAGAACGAAGGCCAGTCAATGAGCCTGAGCTCTTAACCCCACAATGCTAAAACCCAAAACCGTAAACACTTAAGCCCTAACCCCTAAACCCTAAATCCTAAACCCTGAATCCTAAATCCTGAACCTTAAACCCTAAACCCTAAATCCTAAATCCCAACACCGAAACCCAAACTGAAAACTCCGTAACATCCCTAAACGCCAAGTCCAAGACTGTCGAGAACACACGAAAACACAGGCTTCCAGCAAGAAGAGCTTTGGGAGACCTGGACAAGGAAACTACGTAATCAATGAGCAACTAAGAACAGCGCCTGTACAGCCCTAGGTACGGTGGTGAACATTAGCAGACTAGTGTCCCTAAACGCCAATCGTGCCTCTTCTACGTCCAGTGAGGCACCCTGGAGGAAGTCAGTGACCTGTCACCAAGAGGCAGGGTTCCGCATTAGAATCACAGTATGACATACCCACAAAACCCTATTCTCAATCATTTCGGCGCCCATCTTAACTCCTAAAAGCCCAATTGCGAAACTCTAAACCCTTAACCCCAAACCCTAAACCTTAAACCCTAAACCCTACCTTAACTCCCCAAACGTCGGGTCCCAAAGTCTACCGCGGCCTGCGCCGCAGTGACATCCTTCCCGCCCGTCGCGACAAGTCGCTGGGGTCCCGGAAGCTTCGCGGCGAGGAGTGGCACGGCCTCGTTTAGGGTTGAGGGTTTTGGGCTTGGGGTTTGGGGTTTAGGGTTTAGGTTTTAGGGTTTTGGGTTTTAGGGTTTTGGGTTGAGGGTTTTGGGTTTGAGGTTTAGGTTTTTAGGTTTTAGGGTTCTGGGTTTAGGGTTTAGGGTTTGGGTTTGGGTTTTGGGTTTAGCAGGTCTCCAAATTAGGGTCCCTTTTTCGGTCCCCAAAATAGTACGGGCACCCGTATAAAATGGACCCTGAAAGGTACCCTCGTTTAGACAACCACCCACATGAAAGAGCAGAAGAAGCGCGTAGACGGGTCTCAAGGGTCTTATGCGACTTTTTGTCCTTGTTAGGTATGGTTCTTGAAGTTGCCAGAATGGCTTGCACGAGGTTTAAGTGAAAAGGCTCCATAGACTAAGGACCCCACGGTCTTTGTGGGGATTGGTATATAACCGGGCCCCTGTTTTGCGTAAGACGTCGGCGAAACCCTAAACCCTATAAACCCAAAGCCCTAAACCCTACACCCTCCACAGGCCTCGTAGTCTCCGATGCCAGCGAAGCGCATGGTCATGAGCGCCATGAGGAGAAAGATCAAGGGCAAGACGATCTGACAACACCAGGCCTCTCCGGCTGCAGGGCGTCAGGGGGTTGGGAGGCTTTTGGGTTGATAGGGCTGATAGGGCTTAGGGCTTAGGGTTTAGGGTTTAGGGTTTAGGGTTTAGGGTTTAGGGTTTAGGGTTTAGGGTTTAGGGTTCAGGGTTTAGGGTTGATAGGGCTGATAGGGCTGATAGGGTTTGGGGTTTAGGGTTTAGGGCGAGAAGACCTACCTTTTTTCGGATTCCTTTGAGGAAACCCAGAGGCTCCAACTGCCCTAATCAAGGAGGACATACAGGGGTCGGAATGCTTCGTAATGTTGGGGCGTAAATATTTACCAGCGCCATTTGCGGGGTTCCTTATTACCATCATAGTATATTGGGCCCCCAAACCCAACTCTAATTCTTAAGGCCCCTATATAAGTATCCCTTGCTAGGATATTTAGGGGCTACCGGTGTCTCGGGGATAGCCCTAAACCCTAAACCCTAAACCCTAAACCCTAAAACCCTAAACCCTAAACCCTAAACCCTAAAACCCTAAACACCAAAGCTATGTTCGGCCTTCCGATCCCTCCGTGCGTTGTGAAAGCGCTTGACAAGCCTCAGCTCGGGAGTCGGCTCAGGAGAAGGATTAGGAGTTTAGGGTCTAGGGTTTAG